GTTAACCACAAGTTCGGAGGTTTAAGCACTCCTTAGCGTTGTTTTGCTCGAATTGACCATTTCCCATTTAATTTAAAAATAATTCCACTTTATTCAGTTATATAAGAAAATTTTCAATTGCCTATTAGCTCATTGGTAAAAGTGTCAAACTGACAATATGGTTGGAGCTTGAAGGTCCATCTAGTAGGAACTCCAATTGGTTAGAGCATTTGGCTTTAACCTCAAGGTCCGAGGTTCAAAGCCCTACTTTAGTGATGTTTTAACTTGATTATCCATTTCCCATTTACTTTCAAAACATACCAATTTATACAGTTATATAAGAAAATTTTCAAAGGCCTATTAGCACATTTGTTAAAAGTGTCAAACTGACAATACTGGTTTGAGCTTAAAGATACAACTAACTGGAATAGCTCAGTTGGTTAGAGCATGTGGCATTAACCACAAGGTCATAGGTTCAATCCCTTCTTCTAGTGTTGTTTTAATTGAATTGTCCATTTCCATTTACTTTCAAAATATTACCAATTTATACAATTATATAAAGAAAATTTCAATGGCCTAATAGCTTGTTGGTAAAATTGTCAAACTGATAATATTGGTTGGAGCTTAAGGTCCAATAGTTAGAATAGCTCAGTGATTAGACTGTGTGGCTTAACCACATGTTCGAATGTTCAAGCCCTCCTTCTAGAATGTTTTAGCTCGGATTGTTCATTCTCATTTACTTTCAAAATATTAACAATTTATAATTATAAAAAAATTATAATAGACATTAACTCGTTGGTAAAATTTTCAAACTGATAATAAGTTGGAGCTTAAAGGTCCAACTAGCTGGAATAGCTCAGATGGTTAGCGTTGGCTTAACCATAAGGTCAGAGGTTCAAGCCCTTCTTCTAGTTTGTTTAATTGAATTGTCCATTTCCCATTTACTTTCAAAATATTACCAATTTATACAATTATATAAATAAATTTTCAATGGCCTAATAGCTCTGTTGGTAAAATGTCAAACTGATAATACTGGTTGGAGCTTAAAGGTCCAACTTGTTAGAATAGCTCAGTTGATTAGACCGTGGCTGTTAACCACATGTTCGAAGGTTCAAGCCCTCCTTCTAGCATTGTTTTAGCTCGGATTGTTCATTTCTCATTACTTTCAAATATTACCAATTTATATAATTAATAAAAAATTATAATAGACTATTAACTCTGTTGGTAAAATTTTCAACTGATAATAATGGTTGGAGCTTAAAGGTCCAACTAGCTGGAATATCTCAGATGGTTAGAGCGTGGCTATTAACCACAAGGTCTGAGGTTTAAGCCCTCCTTCTAGCGTTGGTTTAGCTCGGATTGACCATTTCCCATTTACTTTCAAAATAATTCCAATTTATACAGTTATATAAAGAAAAGTTTAGTTGCCTTTAGCTCAATTGGTAAAAGTGTCAAACTGACAATACTGGTTGGAGCTTGATGTTCCAACTAGTAGGAATAGGTCCAATTTGTTAGAGCATTTGGCTTTTAACCGTAAGGTTCGAGGTTCAAATCCCTCCTTCTAGCGATGTTTTAACTCTGATTGTGCATTTCCATTTACTTTCAAAATAATACCAATTTATACAGTTATATAAAGAAAATTTTAAAAGGCCTATTAGCACATTTGTTAAAAGCGTTAAACTGACAATACTGGTTGGAGCTTAAAGGTCCAACTAGCTAAAATAGCTTAGTTGGTTAGAGCGTCTGACATTAACCACAAGGTCAGAGGTTTAAGCCATTCTTTTAGTGTTATTTTTATTTGAATTGTCCATTTCCCATTACTTTCAAAATATTCCATTTATAAAATTTTATGAAGCAAATTTTTAATGGCCTATTAGTTCTGTTGGTAAAATTGTCAAACTGATAATACTGGTTGGAGCCTAAAGGTCCAACTAGTTAGAATAGCTTAGTGGTTAGAACTTGTGGCTATTAACCAAGGTCGGAGGTTCAAGCCCTTCTTATAGTGTGTTTTAGCTCAGATTGACCATTTCCCTTTTACTTTCAAAAATATCAATTTATAATTATATAAAAAAATTCAATGGGCTATTAGCTCTTTTGGTAAAATTTTCAAACTGATAATACTGGTTGAAGTTTAAAGGTCAAAGAAGCTGGAATAGCTCAGTTGGTTAGAGCCTGTGGCTGTTAACCACAAGGTTGGAGGTTCAAGCCCTCCTTTTAGCGTTTTTTATTTTGAATTGTTTGTTTCCCATTTGCTTTCAAATATTACCAATTTATGCAATTGTATAATAAAATTTCAATGGCCTATTAGCTCTTAACCCCAAGGTCGGAAGTTCAAGACCTCTGCTAGTGTTTTTTTAGCTCGGATTGTCCATTTCCATTTCTTTCAAATATTACCAATTTATACAATTATATAAAAAAATTTTCAATTGTATAGCTCAGTTGGTAAAGTGTCAAACTGACAATACTGGTTGAAGCTTGAAGGTCCAACTAGTTGGAATAGCTCAGTTGGTTAGAGCGTTGGTTGTAACCACATGGTCGGAGGCTCAAGCCCTCCTTCTAGTGTGTTTTAACCTGGATTTCCATTTCCCATTTACTTTCAAAATATTACCAATTTATCAATTATAAAGAAATTTCAATGGCCTATTATCTCTATTGGTAAAATTGTCAAACTATAATACTGGTTGGAGCTTAAAGGTCAAAGAAGTTGGAATAACTTAGTTGGTTAGAGCGTTGGCTGTTAACCACAAGGTCGGGAGGTTCAAGCCCTCATTCTAGTGTTGTTTTAATTTGAATTGTCCATTTCCCATTTACTTTCAAAATATTGCTAATTTAAACTGTTATATAATGAAAATTTTTAATGGCCTATTAGCTCGTTGGTTAGAGCGTGTGGTTGTTAGCCACAAGGTCGGAGGTTTAAGCCCTCCTTTTAGTGTTGTTTTAATTTGAATTATTCATTTCCCATAAACTTTCAAAATATTACAATTTATACGGTATATAATGAAAATTTTCAACGGCCTATTCACTAAGTTGGTAAAAGTGTCAAAATAACAATACTGGTTAGAGCTTAAAAGTCCAATTAGCTGGAATAACTCTGCTGGTTAGAGCGTGTAGCTATTAACCACAAGGTTAGAGGTTCAAGCCCTCCTTCTAGCGTTGTTTTAATTTGAATTGTCCATTTCCCATTAACTTTCAAAATACCAATTTATACAGTTATCTAATGAAAATTTTCAACGGCCTATTAGCTCAGTTGGTAAAGTGTCAAACTAACTATTTGTTGGACTTAAAGGTCCAACTAGCTAGAATAGCTCATTTGGTTAGACCGTGTGGTTGTTAACCACTAGGTCGGAGGTTTTAGCCCTTCTTCTACCGTTGTTTTAGCTCGGATTGACCATTTCTCATTTACTTTCAAAATAATACCAATTTATACAGTTATAAAAAAATTCAATAGACTATTAGCTCTTTGGTAAAATTTTCAAACTGATAATACTGGTTGAAGCTCAAAGGTCCAATTAGTTGGAATAGCTCTGTTGAATAGAGCGTGTGCCTGTTAACCACAAGGTCAGAGGTTCAAGCCCTCCTTCTAGCGTTGTTTTAACTTATTATCCTTTCCCATTTACTTTAAAATATTACCAATTTATACAATTATAAAGAAAATTTCAATGGCCTACCAGCTATTGGTAAAATTTCAAACTGATAATGTTGGTTGGAGCTTAAAGGTTCAACTGATGGAATAGCTCAGTTGGTAGAGCGTGTGGCTGTTAACCACAAGTCATAGGTTCAAGCCCTCCTTCTAGCGTTATTTTAGCTCGGATTGTCCATTCTTGTTTACTTTCAAAATTCCACTTTATTCAGTTATATAAGAAAATTTTCAATGCCTATTAGCTCAATTGGTAAAGTGTCAAACTGACAGTACTGGTTAGATCTTGAAAGTCATCTAGTAGGAATAACTCCAATTGGTTAGAGCATTTGGCTTTTAACAGCGAGGTCCGAGGTTCAAAGCCCTACTTTAGCGATGTTTTAACTTTGATCCATTTCCCATTTACTTTCAAAACAATACCAATTTATACAGTTATATTAAGAAATTTTCAAAGGCCTATTAGCACATTTGTTAAAAGTGTCAAACTGACAATACTGGTTTGAGCTTAAAGGTCCAACTAACTGGAATAGCTCAGTTGGTTAGAGCATGGCATTAACCACAAGGTCAGAGGTTCAAGCCCTTCTTCTAGTGTTGTTTTAATTTGAATTGTCCATTTCCCATTTACTTTCAATATTACCAATTTATACAATTATATAAAGAAAATTTTCAATGGCCTAATAGCTTTGTTGGTAAAATTGTCAAACTGATAATATTGGTTGGAGCTTAAAGGTCCAACTAGTTAGAATAGCTCAGTTGATTGGACCGTGTGGCTGTTAACCACATGTTCGAAGGTTCAAGCCCTCCTTCTAGAATTGTTTTAGCTCGGATTGTTCATTTCTCATTTACTTTCAAAATATTACCAATTTATATAATTATATAAAAAAATTATAATAGACTATTAACTCCGTTGGTAAAATTTTCAAACTGATAATAATGGTTGGAGCTTAAAGGTCTAACTAGCTGGAATAGCTTAGATGGTTAGAGCGTGTGGCATTAACCATAAGGTCAGAGGTTCGAGCCCTTCTTCTAGTGTTGTTTTAATTTGATTGTCCATTTCCCATTTACTTTCAAAATATTACCATTTATACAATATTTAAAAATTTTCAATGGCCTAATAGCTCTGTTGGTAAAATTGTCAAACTGATAATACTGGTTGGAGCTTAAAGGTCCAACTAGTTAGAATAGCTCAGTTGATTAGACCGTGTGGCTGTTAACCACATGTTCAAAGGTTCAAGCCCTCCTTCTAACATTGTTTTAGCTCGGATTGTTCATTTCTCATTTACTTTCAAAACCAATTTATAATTATATAAAAAAATAATATACTATTAACTATGTGGTAAAATTTTCAAACTGATAATAATGTTGGAGCTTAAAGGTCCAACTAGCTGGAATAGCTCAGATGGTTAGAGCGTGTGGCTGTTAACCACAAGGTCGAGGTTCAAGCCCTCCTTCTAGCGTTGGATTAGCTCGGATTGACCATTTCCCATTTACTTTCAAAATAATTCCAATTTATACAGTTATATAAAGAAAAGTTTCAATTGCCTTTTAGCTCAATTGGTAAAAGTGTCAAACTGACAATACTGGTTGGAGCTTGATGTTCCAACTAGTAGGAATAGTCCAATTTGTTAGAGCATTTGGCTTTTAACCGTAAGGTTCGAGGTTCAATCCCCTTCTAGCGATGTTTTAACTCTAATTGTGCATTTCGTATTTACTTTCAAAATATACCAATTTATACAGTTATATAAAGAAAATTTTAAAAGGCCTATTAGCACATTTGTTAAAAGCGTTAAACTGACAATGGTTGAAGCTTAAAGGTCCAACTAGCTAAAATAGCTTAGTTGGTTAGAGCGTCTGACATTAACCACAAGGTCAGAGGTTTAAGCCATTCTTTTAGTGTTATTTTAATTTGAATTGTCCCTTCCCATTTACTTTCAAAATATTACCATTTATAAAATTTTATAAAGAAAATTTGAATGGCCTATTAGTTTGTTGGTAAAATTGTCAAACTGATAATACTGGTTGGAGCCTAAGGTCCAACTAGTTAGAATAGCTTAGTTGGTTAGAACTTGATAATACTGGTTGAAGTTTAAAGGTCAAAGAAGCTGGAATAGCTCAATTGGTTAGCCTGTGGCTGTTAACCACAAGGTTGGAGGTTCAAGCCCTCCTTTTAGCGTTGTTTTATTTTGAATGTTTGTTTCCCATTGCTTTCAAAATATTACCAATTTATAAATTGTATAATGAAAATTTTCAATGGCCTATTAGCTCTTACCCCAAGGTCGGAAGTTCAAGACCTCTTGCTAGTGTTGTTTTAGCTCGGATTGTCCTTTCCCATTTTCTTTCAAAATAATACCAATTTATACAATTATATAAATAAAATTTTCAATTGTATATTAGCTCAGTTGGTAAAAGTGTCAAACTTACTACTGGTTGGAGCTTGAAGGTCCAACTAGTTGGAATAGCTCGTGGTTTAGAGCGTTTGGTTTAACAGGTCGGAGGCTCAAGCCTCCTTCTAGTGTTGTTTTAACTTGGATTTCCATTTCCTATTTACTTTCAAAATATTACCAATTTACAATTATGTAAAGAACATTCAATGGCCTATATCTCTATTGGTAAAATGTCAAACTGATAATACTGGTTGGAGCTTAAAGGTCAAAGAAGCTGGAATAACTTAGTTGGTTAGAGCGTCTGGCTTTACCACATGGTCGGGAGGTTCAAGCCCTCCTTCTAGTGCTGTTTAATTTGAATTGTCCATTTCCCATTACTTTCAAAATATGCTAATTTAAACTGTTATATAATGAAAATTTTAATGGCCTATTAGCTCAGTTGGTTAGAGCGTGTGGTTGTTAGCCACAAGGTCGGAGGTTTAAGCCCTCCTTTTAGTGTTGTTTTAATTTGAATTATTCATTCCAAACTTTCAAAATATTACCAATTATACGGTTATATAATGAAAATTTTCAACGGCCTAGTCACTGAGTTGGTAAAAGTGTCAAAATAACAATACTGGTTAGAGCTTAAAAGTCCAATTAGCTGGAAAAACTCTGTTGGTTAGAGCGTGTAGCTATTACCACAAGGTTAGAGGTTCAAGCCCTCCTTCTAGCGTTATTTTAATTTGAATTATCCATTTCCCATTAACTTTCAAATATTACCAATTTATACAGTTATCTAATGAAAATTTTCAACGGCCTATTAGCTCAGTTGGTAAAAGTGTCAACTAACAATATTTTTGGACCTTAAAGGTCCAACTAGCTGGAATAGCTCATTTGGTTAGACCGTGTGGTGTTAACCACTAGGTTGGAGGTTTTAGCCCTTCTTCTAGCGTTGTTTTAGCTCGGATTGACCATTTTCATTTACTTTCAAATAATACCAATTTATACAGTTATATAAAAAAATCAATAGTATATTAGCTCTTTTCGTAAAATTTTCAACTGATAATACTGGTTGAAGCTCAAAGGTCCAATTAGTTGGAATAGCTCTGTTGGATAGAGCGTGTACCTGTTAACCACAAGGTCAGAGGTTCAAGCCCTCCTTCTAGCGTTGTTTTTAACTGGATTGTCCTTTGCCATTTACTTTAAAAATATACCAATTTATACAATTATAAAGAAAATTTTCATGGCCTACTAGCTATTGGTAAAATTTCAAACTGATAATGTTGGTTGGAGCTTAAGGTTCAACTAGCTGGAATAGCTCAGTTGGTTAGAGTGTGTGGCTGTTAACCACAAGTTCAGAGGTTCAAGCCCTCCTTCTAGCGTTGTTTTAGCTCGGATTGTCCATTTCTTATTTACTTTCAAAATAATACCAATTTATACAATTATATAAAAAAAAATTCAATATTCTATTAGCTCTGTTGTAATATTTCCAACTGATAATACTGGTTTGGAGCTTAAAGATCAAATTAGCTGGAATGCTTATAGATGGTTATAGCGTGTGGCTGTTAACCCAAGGTCGGAGGTTTAAGCACTCCTTATAGCGTTGTTTTAGCTCGGATTGACCATTTCCCATTAATTTCAAAATAATTCCACTTTATTCAGTATATTAAAAAAAATCAATTGCCTATTAGCTCAATTGGTAAAAGTGTCAAACTGACAGTACTGGTTGGAGCTTGAAGGTTATCTAGTAGGAATAACTCCAATTGGTTAGAGCATTTGGCTTTTAACCGCGAGGTCCGAGGTTCAAAGCCCTACTTTAGCGATGTTTTAACTTTGATTATCCATTTCCCATTTACTTTCAAAACAATACCAATTTATACGGTTATATAAAGAAAATTTTCAAAGGCATATTAGCACATTTGTTAAAGTGTCAAACTGATACTGGTTTGAGCTTAAAGGTCCAACTAACTGAATAGCTCAGTTGGTTAGAGCGTGGGATTAACACAAGGTCAGAGGTTCAAGCCCTTCTTCTAGTGTTGTTTAATTTGAATTGTCCATTTCCCATTTACTTTCAAAATATTACCAATTTATACAATTTATAAAGAAAATTTTCAATGGCCTAATAGCTCTGTTGGTAAAATTGTCAAACTGATAATACTGTTGGAGCTTAAAGGTCCAACTAGTTAGAATAGCTCAGTTGATTAGACCGTGTGGCTGTTAACCACATTCGAAGGTTCAAGCCCTCCTCTAGCATTATTTTAGCTCGGATTGTTCATTTCTCATTTACTTTAAAAATATTACCAATTTATATAATTATATAAAAAATATAATAGACTATTAACTTTGTTGGTAAAATTTTCAAACTGATATAATGGTTGGAGCTTAAAGGTCCAACTAGCTGGAATAGCTCAGAAGGTTAGAATGTGTGGCTATTAACCACAAGGTCTGAGGTTCAAGCCCTCCTTCTAGCGTTGGTTTAGCTCGGATTGACCATTTCCCATTTACTTTCAAATAATTCCAATTTATACAGTTATGTAAAGAAAAGTTTCAATGGCCTATTAGCTCTTAACCCAAGGTCGAAAGTTCAAGACCTCTTGCTATGTTTTAGCTCGGATTGTCCATTTCCCATTTTCTTTCAAAATATTACCAATTTATACAATTATATAAATAAAATTTTTAATTGTCTATTAGCTCAGGTGGTAAAAGTGTCAAACTGACAATACTGGTTGGAGCTTGAAGGTCCAACTAGTTGGAATAGCTCAGTTGGTTAGAGCGTTTGGTTGTTACCACATGGTCAGAGGCTCAGCCCTCCTTCTAGCATTGTTTAACTTGAATGTCCATTTCCCATTTACTTTCAAAATATTACCAATTTATAATGGCCTATTAGCTCAGTTGGTTAGAGCGTGTGGTTGTTAGCCACAAGGTCGGAGGTTTAAGCTCACTTTTAGTGTTTGTTTTTTATTTGAATTGTTCATTTCCCATTAACTTTCAAAATATTACCAATTTATACGTTATAATGAAAATTTTCAACAGCCTATTCACTGAGTTGGTAAAGTGTCAAACTAACAATACTGGTTAGAGCTTAAAAGTCCAATTAGCTGGAATAACTGTTGGTTAAAGCGTGTAGCTATTAACCACAAGGTCAAGGTTCAAGCCCTCTTTCTAGCGTTGTTTTAATTTGAATTGTCCATTTCCCATTAACTTTCAAAATATTACAAATTTATATAGTTATATAATGAAAATTTTCAACGGCCTATTAGCTTAGTTGGTAAAAGTGTCAAACTAATAATATTTGTTGGACCTTAAAAGTCCAACTAGCTGGAATAGCTCTTTGGTTAGACCGTGTGGCTATTAAACCACTAGGTCGGAGGTTTAAGCCCTTCTTCTAGTGTTGTTTTAGCTCGGATTGACCATTTCTCATTTACTTTCAAAATAATACCAATTTATACAGTTATATAAAAAACAATTCAATAGACTATTAGCTCTTTTGGTAAAATTTTCAAACTGATAATACTGGTTGAAGCTCAAGGTCCAATTAGTTGGAATAGCTCTGTTGAGAGCGTGTGCCTGTTAACCCCAAGGTCAGAGGTTCAAGCCCTCCTACTAGCTATTGGTAGAATTTCAAACTGATAATGTTGGTTGGAGATTAAAGGTTCAACTAGCTGGAATAGCTCAGTTGGTTAGAGCGTGTGGTTGTTAACCACAAGTTCAGAGGTTCAAGCCCTCCTTCTAGCGTTGTTTTAGCTCAGATTGACCATTTCCCATTTAATTTCAAAATAATTCCATTTTATTCAGTTATATTAAGAAAATTTTCAATTGCCTATTAGCTCAATTGGTAAAAGTGTCAAACTGACAGTACTTGTTGGAGATTGAAGGTTCATCTAGTAGGAATAACTCCAATTGGTTAGAGCATTTGGCTTTTAACCGCGAGGTCCGAGGTTCAAAGCCCTACTTTAGCGATGTTTTAACTTTGATTATCCATTTCCCATTTACTTTCAAACAATACCAATTTATACAGTTATATAAGAAAATTTTCAAAGGCCTATTATCACATTTGTTAAAAGTGTCAAACTGACAATACTGGTTTGAGC